AACAAACACAGGTTTACTTGTCGGACAGACGTTGCGCTGCTTGTTTCTGTTTATCCAGCTGGAAGCGGCCGAGGATCCGAGTTTCCAGTGCTTTTCTTGGTTTCGTGACACCCAGCTAGCCTCAGTAGCTTGATCCGATAACGACCGTCTTGCTTGCGTCATTTTTATCACCTCCCGAGGAGAGTGCTTCTTTTATTAGCCACACCATTAACATTTCTGGGGTCCGACGTGGCCGCGTTCCCCTTTAAATTGCTGCCGCACAGGTTCCCGGCGCCGGATCAGGTGACCTCACCCGGCTGGTTAAACATTTACCCCTCTGGCCTGCAGAAGGTTCCGTGTTCTCACATGTGACACTGGCAGAGTGAAGGATTCAGGCCAGGATCCAATGCCACGCCTCACTTGAGGCTGTGCAACGGTCTGTTCACTCATGTGTTTATCATTCAGTAGAAAAGCACTCACCGTCAGATATGCGTCACTTTCGTAGTGAGCGGTGCACCAGGTGGCAGGACGGCTACCACAAAAAAACTCAGTTCTCCTTTTTTGCATTTCAGATCATCTCTGAGAATCCCACATGCCGGCTACACAGACTTGTCTTCTGCAGCACTTTAGCGCCCTCTAATGGTACGTCGCAGTACTTCGGCTAACGGGAATCTTCTCTGCACTGTCTGGTTTCATCTCTGAGCTCTTTCACACCGCAAGGGTGTGAGTTCCTGCCTTCACTCTGTACCCAGCCTTGCACTTTTCTTGGCATCCCAGACCTCTCTGTGGAGTACAAGCACGGCCGGCCAGCGCTGACACTCCCCCTGCCCTCCCGGAAGGAGTCCTGCCTCTTCTTCCTCCGCCCCATGCTGACGACCGTGGGAGACTTCCTGCGTGATGTCCAGAAGGAAGACCCAGGGGTCAGCCAGGCCACTGTTCTCACGACAGGCGAGTGGAAGACCGTGTTTACTTCCTTAGCACCTTCTCAGTTCCTCTCCTCTGCTGTAAATATAGAGGTTTCCTATACAGATGCTTGATGACCTTTTGGTACCCCCCCTGCAGGTGGAGAGCAGGTGTCCAGAATGACGTCTATGGACGCCCTGCTCAGGAGCGACTTCCAGCTGGTGATGAACAACGTTACCTACTCCGTACGCTGCCCTGCCCGAGGTAATGCCCTCATCCAGCTCCTCTTCTTCATACCGGCCTTGCCATAAAATCTAGTCTCTATAGCGCCTCCCTAGTGGAGGGGCTTGCATTGGTGCTGAAGGCTCTGTGTCTGCTCCGGGTGTAGAGAAGGGCCCGTCCGAACACCTGACAGACGTGGAGGACATGAAGACGCTCGTGCACATGCTGCACACAGCCGTGCAGCTGCCCACTCACCACCTGCGGCAGGAGAGAGATCTTATGCAGAGGCTGGACTTCCTCCGACAGGAGCTCGTGCCCATGGAGCAGGTAGCCTGATTGGCTGATGCCGTGCTAGCGCCCTCTAATGGCATTCTGGGTACTAAACTCTGTGTTTGGGGCAGGCGAAGGCTCAGATCGCCCGTGGGGCGGAAATGCGGTCGGCCCGGCTCTTGTGGGGGGGCTTGGCCCTGCTGTCGGCGCAGGGTGGCGCTCTGGCCTGGCTCACCTGGTGGGTGTACTCCTGGGACATCATGGAGCCCGTCACGTACTTCCTGACCTACTCCACTAGCATAGGTGCCTTCGGCTACTATGTCCTCACCAAGCAGGTACGTCGTACAGCCCCAGAGACCAACCACAGCACCACCATCAGATCGAAATTAAGGATAATTGGGGGAAATTTAATTGGGGTATTTAACTGCTAATTATTCCCAGCTTATTACTGGACTAGTAGCAGACTAAGATGGTCTCCACATTCGGAACAAATTAGTCCACACATGTGGTCTTAGTGCTCAGGCTGCACAGATTCTCACTATAGATAAGACCTCATGAGGCAGCACAGGACTAAACAGGATAGTGGGTGTAGGTGCAGAGACGCCTGCACCTTTCCCACTCTCCCTCCCCCCCGCTAATACTACTGCCCTTTGATTCCCTCCACCAGGATTACGTCTACCCGAGCGTCAAGGACCGGCAGTTCCTGGACTACTTTTACAAAGGGGCCAAGAAGCAAGCCTTCAACGTGCAGAAGTATAACCGGCTGAAGGAGGAGGTGGCGCTGGTGAGTGGCCAGGCCTGCGGGGTGGTGGGTGGGGGGCGGGGCCAGTGGCACGCCTTCTCATGCCTCTGCCCTTGTTCCGCCAGGTGGAGGATGACCTTCGGAGGTTGAGGGACCCCATCCGGCTGCGGCTTCCCCTAGAGCAACTTCAGGCCCAGCACTGAAGAGGCGGCACGCCCTTCGGCCCGTGGCCGACCTGCCGAAAACGCGAGGAACGGCTCAGCAGAGGCTGCTGGGCACTGAACCACCTCAGCCATCTCAGCACTAGGCTGAGTGCTGTGCTCCGGCAAGTCGGCCACACGTCCAACGATGCAACATTTCCACACAAGGAGAGCATGAAAATAAAGTTTTTTGGGTTTTTTTTGCATTATGGATATCTTGTACCCATGTCAAATATATCCATAGTAAACATGGCCATTTCACTGGCAAACTGCTGACTTGTTAATCCCACATATGCCTCAGTGAGTGTAAAAACCACTCAAACCAGTTTTCAGATATTTGCATTGTGCCAGTAGTCACATTATGTTGTGGGTTAAATACAGAACAGAATCATGAAAAGTTGTTTAAAAAAACAAACGGTATAAACCTGTGGTGTTAAACATTTACCTTTCAGCAATTTGCATGTTATACGCTGCGTTCCGTTCTACTCCAGACATTTGCATCATAATGTGGAAAAACAGGTTGATGTTGCCGTTCACAGCACTTTTAAATATTACTGACACATCAAATAGATCTACTTCTTATAAAATATGTTGATTGTTTAAAGCAGCATTATCCCAGTGTTTTGCAAAACCATAAACTGTCTGAGGGTCCCTGCTTGGGAAACACTGCTCTGAAGTCCTGGAAGTAAAAATCCTGACCAAGATTTTGTGCCAACTGACCAGCTGAGTACTGTGTCTGTGACTCTTTATGCACAACTGGTTGGTTGAAACAAAATCTTGGTCTGGATTTTTACTTTCTAGACCTGGGGTCTGTTTCACAAAGCAGGATTTCTTGCTTAGCCAGATAACTTGCCAGATTTAAGGTAGTCTGGGCTAAATAGACCTTATTTTCATCCACTTACATTTAGCCCAGACTACCTTAAATCTGGCTAAGCAAGTAATCCTGCTTTGTGAAACAGGCCCCTGAACTATACACATCTGCTATGTGGACATCTTCAGCAAGCTTGTAAACAGGGCAGTATTTTTTTCCTAATTTTCCTACAGCAGTCAAAACCACTATATCTTCACTAATGGGTTTCACTGTCAGATACCAGCATTCATCATTTTACACCAGTCCACCATCAGCACATTTATAAGATGGAGTTTTAATTATTGCTTTCCCCGGGAATATTAATATACTAAAATTAAATGCATTGTAATTTTAGGTGTTCTCCTGTAGAGGGAGTGATGTGCATCCATCTATCTCCTACTCTCTAGGGCTGGGGTGGGCAATCTTATCCGCAAAGGGCCGGTGTGTATGCAGGTTTCTGGGAAAACCTTTAGGTCAGCTGTTCAAACCCAGGTCTGAGGACTCTTCAGCCTAGTAATCTAATTAGGGAAAAACCTGCATACACACCGGCCCTTTCTGGATAAGATTGCCCTCCCCTTATCTAGAGAGTAGGAGATAGATGGATGCACATCACCCCCTCTACAGGAGAACACCTAAAATTACAATCCATTTAATTTTAGTATATTAATATTCAGAATTAAAGATCAGAATTCTTCCAGATTCAAAATCTGCATGAGGCAACTTAATAATAGATACTTTATTGATCCCTGTGGGAAAATTCTCTTTCTACTACCCCCATTGGCACTCAGGGAGTGGGGGGTTAAGGGCCTTGCTTATGGACCTGCAGATGTGCCAAGGCCAGGCTCGAATCAGCAACCTTCTGATCACAAATACAGGGAGCACAGGGGGGTCAATTTAGACCCCAATAAGCCTAACTGCATGCCTTTGGACTGCAAGGGCAAAAAACCAAAACACTGTACAGGGGAGAATAAACAAACTCCTCACATACACAGTGGCTTCAAACCTCTGATCCATAGAGGAGCAGCAACATGCCACTGTGACGGCTCCCTCCCCCGTTCGAAACAAGGGAATTTCATGCCGTTCCATCACCCCCATGGACAGCAGGGGAATAAGGTCCCCGTCACGGCCTTCCAAACCCCCCATTGATGATGCTGGATTTATCCCCGCGGTGACAGGCACAGCTGGGCCGCAGGAGGCCCCGTCACGCATGGTTTACCGCATCGCCGCAGCCGCCAAAGCTCCTCGCACAGCAGGGGACCCGCTGTCTTAATGCGACACGCTAGCGCTAGCACGCTAGCATAGCGCAAATAAAACCAGGCCGATAACGTTAAAATGTAAGGATATACCGTTACTAACCAACACAGCAGGATGTTGACGTTGACTTCAAAGGGATATCTGGTTGGGTGGGGGTGACATGGTGCTTTGACTTCACTCCCCCCAACTAAATTCTGACATATCAGCATAGACAGAAACGGGCCCCTCTCATTGGTTCCAACGTCTGATATTACTCAGCAAGTCCCGATTCTGCTGAGCTGTCTCTGAACTGCAGTGTTCAATCAGTGCTGCTTTCAACTCGGACAACCGTGCCGACGCCGAGATTAAACAGCCATCGAGCGACTCGAAGACGGATCTCGGCTGCTCATCAGCCCGTGAGGATCTGCGCCTTGGCACTAAAAATGGTAAAAATAGTGAAAAATACCTTCTGAGACACAGGCAGGCAAAAGGCAGGCTGGGAAAGAATAGGACAGCTTCTGCATACCCCTAATCTCTGTGGGGCTGCGTGAGCAGACCATTATGAGACCGCTGATTAGAAACCTCCACTGGTAACAACCGATTGAAATATGGTGCTTTATTTATTATTAAATTCCCAGTACCAAAGGATTCCTCTCAAGCTGTACTTAACCAAGCAAATGTAGCTAGAGGTGTGGATAATAGTAATCACTAGATCAATTAGGATGCAATCTATCTATTTTCTGTACCCGCTTATCCTATCCTGGGGGGGGGAGCCTATCCCAGAGGCTACAGGTACAAGGCAGGGAACAATCCAGGACAGGACGCCAACCCAACACAGGGCACACTGACACAGCAGTGACTCAGACATGCATACTTATGGGCAATTTGGTAACTCCAATCAATCTCAGCATGTTTTTGGACTGCGGGGGGAAACTGGAGTACCCAGAGGAAACCCTGTGACGATACAGGGAGAACATGCGAACGACACTACAGAACCGTGCCATAGACTCGAACCCTGGTCCCAGGGGTGTGAGGCATCAGTGCTGTCTCCTAGGAGACAATTAATTAATTAGTCTCAATCACTCATTAAGTAACGACTGGGCCTGGGAACAGTTCTGGGAACAGTTGTGCACACAGAAAAAGCTCAGCACACTCGTATACATTGATATGAATATTCATAAGGGTCATGTGACCTTGCAATTA